GCAATTATTATAATTTATAGTGTGCTTAGATTTCATTTTGTAATTAAATGCTGCTAAAAATCGAAATATTTCTGCTATTTTTTTCTGTGATACATCAAATAATTTTTAAAATTCTCCTACACCTTACATTGTATAACAATTATCTAATTATATTCTTATAATAATTATCTAATTATATTCTTATAATAATTATACATAATATAATATTGTATAATAATAACATAATTTCTTAGGTATTTTACCTATTTATGCATTTTAATTTCATTTCATATCTAAACATTTAAGATTTTATTTACGGTGCATTTTTCTACGTTGAATCAAAATATACCAAAACAAAACCAATGGGACTAATAATACAAAAGAAAAAAAATTTAGTACTGTTACAAAATACAGTTTTATACTTACACCTCACTACGTGTCTGATATAACTTGATGGACAAGACAAGTATTGGTTCATATCTAGAGTTTTACTTTGATTCGAAAGAGTTAAGTTTATAAAACTAACTCTTCTGAAGTTATAAGAGTTTCAAGTATTTAAAATTTTACTTTTTCAATTATACTTTTATTCGTATAAAATCATTTAAAACCTTGAAACTACGTATTAATTCAATACGGCTTAAATGTAATTTTGTTTCAAACATAGCATGAAATATGCATGAGAAATAATGCCTAAACTGACTAGAGAGCCAGAGTAAGCCATTGCTTAAATACACCTAATAGGTACTATTAAATAAATATAATATAAAAACTGCATAAATATAAAATAAATATAAAAAATAAGAAATAGATATTAAAATAAGTGTGAAAATAAAAATTGTACTTTTCATACATGAAATCTTTATATCTCTCAAAACTTCTGAGCTGTTATTCCTATCGATATGGTTTTGGTCCCATTCCAGTTTGTGTTAAACTTTCAATATTTTACTACCAATACTGTACAACACTGTACTACAATATTTTACTTCAAATACTATTGCTAGTTTCAATACCTTGCTTGGTGTATACAGGCGCAGATAGTTATAATTACAAATCTGCAGACTTCATACATAAAATTTTAATAACTTCTGAACTATTTGTCATATCGGCTTTGATTTGGTTTAATTCAATTCAGAGTAAAAAATCCATTTAGATTCTCGAGATAGGAGTTATTACAGCCGCGCAAATTGGTGTATCGAAAAATTGTACTTTTTTATGTTTCATTTTCACAAAAACAATTTTGACATTTGAATCATTAATCCCATTATCTTGATTATGATGTCAAATAATTCGGCGTAAATAATGCATTAAAACAGTGCCTCACTTATAGTAAAATATAATCCCCCCCCACTTATCTCCTCACTGAATTTTTATTTATTTATTTATTTTTTTTTGACATCGGAAGCGTCTTAATGAAGAATAAGGTTAAGACCAATAGTAACCGACCTACCCTCGAAGGAGTTTGCGGATAAGGGTTTCACCCGTTTGCACGTGACTAAACACTACCAAACTACAGAAAAGTAAAAGTACTAAATTAAAAAGATTAAAACATTAAAAAGGTTAATACAGCAATTTTGAATGTAGACTATGACTTATGTGAGTATATAAACTGTATCGAATTCTTCGTGTAAGCCAACATGTTGTAACCCGCATTTAAAATGATCTGATCATTGAAAAGCCTGAAAATATTTTTTGTTAATGTAAATATTGTAAAACAGGAAATAATAATTTATTGCAAAGGTATTTAGGTATTTATTGCAAAGAACTTCTTTCCTGAAATATTTAGAATATGTTTAAAAGAAATATGTAAAAAGAAATTCTCCGGTACTATGGAATTTGTTGAAAAATCTATGAATTATAATCTTAGATGACGATGCATCAATTAACGCGATATACTTCGCCGGGGGACTGATCAAATGACCTTTAAATTACCTTACTGTAGTTTTTGACACTGAATTTTGTTTTTTACTTATTTATTTTGTTGCAAAACCGTTATAACATTTCCAAAAAAAAACAAAAAAAATAAATAAATAAATAAAACAAATAAATAACTTGAGATTTATGAGAACATAAAATCAAGTTTAATTTTATTTATTGTGCGTTACTTTTTTGAATTAAGTCAGAATCAGGATGACATGATTTGAGTATTTTATATGTTATTACTGTCTACGCCTAGCATTAATTACGTGACACTGAATGCTTAGATTTTATACACTTTTTTTTTTGGCTTTGTCTCAAATGATACTTGAGAAAAAATATTGTTAGATGGTGTAAGTAAAGGCCGTGTAAGGATTATTATAATGTGAATAGAATGAGTGCATAACATGATAAAAAGAAAGGAAGAAGAAAATATCGCTTAAAAAATGCATGGAGTAAAATATACATGGCTTAAAATATGCATGGAGAATTTACAATTCTGTTTCGTAATGACGTAAAATGTCCATAATTCAGGTAATAAAAATCAAAAGATACTGTGTTTAAATTATTCATTTGGAAATTTTTCCGCTCATACGGTAACGGTTTATGTTTTAAGAATACTATATCTTGTTACCACACATTTAGTAAAAAGTACAAAACTGAAAAGTAAATTTCACCGAAAAAATGGTTTTTATGTCATGCTCCAAGGTATCGTGATAAAAATTTTACTACATTTACCAAATTTTATCACATGCTATATTATTTTAAATATTTTTAACCACATTTTAATGTTAATTTTATCAAAACCATTGCCAAAGCTCTTGTGTTAAAATTATCGAACTTTTTAGGTGTTCCCATAAAGGCAGAAATACGATAAACTTTGCAATATTTTGGTAGATTTGACCATATTTTTTTCTTAGTCTAAAATATGCCTTGTATGGTTTTATAGTCACTTATTTCTTTTATAGTCAATTAAGTCTTATAGTCACTTATTTGAGATTAAAATTGGTTACATATTACATAAAAACTTTTCATTTAACCACTTTTTAGATATATATTTATCCTGAAAATATTTTTCCTCTTTTCATTTTTTAAATACTTTACTTATTTTATGTTTATAAATTGTATTTTTTTAAATTCTAGTCACATAATACTACGAAAAAATGAGTTTTTTTAAAATCAGGATTAAACTTTAAAGCCCCAAAATTTTGACCTAAATTTATTATTTTTAAACAAAGTAGAAATAATTCAATACTAATAATGTTGGATACAAATCTTAAAGATTTATTGATGGCTAATAAATAATTTGTAGCATAAGCTTACATATTTTTATTTATATAAGCTGCCCATCTAAATGATATTAAGCTTACATAATGCTACAATTTAATTTGATAGTATTTGTAGTCTTAGGTAAGCAGATTTATGACATAATTGATTAAAACTTTCGTTATCACAGTTACTTTAGAAGCGTTATATAAAAGCTTTAAATGCCATTTCGCAATAGATAAAGCATCACTTTAAGCTATTTTTTTCAAAGCCAAATTTGTAATGATAGTAAATGAATTTAAACAGCTCTCAGTTTTTAATTATGAAACGAATACGTTTTTATTTAAAGAGTATAGAAGTAGTTAAGATAATTTTAAGTGACACTTATGCTTTAATTTGAATTTTAGACACTAATTTGAACTATTTCTTAGTATTTTGAATTGGAAGTGTGTGCTCGAAAATTAGTAGTTTTTTTTTATTATTATTGTAATTTTATTTTAATTCAAACTTTAATTACGTTGAATGAAAAAGTTCAAAAGTAACCCTTGTTTTACACCACGTGTGAATTTTATGTAGAAAAAGAAAAATGCTTGCAATTGCTCATTTTTTTCTGAAATCTAATCGCAACAAAGGAGAGATTAACTAGAAAAATTTATTTGATTAATTATCAATAAATTAATTATAAATTAATCTAACAGTGAAAGATTTCAAAAAATCAAAGCAGAAAATTTTATTTATTTAATTTTTCTCTTATTATGTGCCATTTAAATAATAAGGTAATTTTCTTTAAATAGCGGTAAATATCTTTAAATACAACATTTTTAAAATTACATTCCCTACAAATAATCTATAAGTGAATTAATAAATATTCTGGAAATATAATTAATCTGAATGTGGTAGTGGAAATTATTAACTGAGGCTTATATACTCTATATTTTATCTAGTCGCCGTTAAAAAATACAACATACCATATTGCTTTACAATTGGAAAAATAGCGTAAGTGCTTCACAATCAATTCAAAGCAACTCGACAACTTTTTTCTTTCCACTGCTAATGCTATCAACGCCAAAATTAAGCTTCAAAAAATGAACAAAAAATTGATTTGCTTAGAAAAATTTAAAAAAATCAATATGTCGCGTATTTAAATTGAGACCTATATGTAGATTATCATAAAAAATACCTAATAAATAAAAATCTCACTTTCGAATTTTTTGTCGCTTACGTTGATTTTTCTATCACTCACTTGAAATACGAGCGTTATTGAAAAGCACATTAGTGTTATTTTAAATTTAAAAGCATACACCAAAAAATCTTTTGATAGCTGTGTTTTTCTACATTTTAACATTAGTATATTTTTTAGTATTTTCTATTGTTTTTTGCACTAGGGTAAAAAAGAAAATAATAAACAAAACAGTACTGATTAGCACAATGAAATCATGTACAGCACAATTTCAAAAGCTAAAATTTTTCCATTTTTTAAGATCTAAAATCTTATTTTTCCTTCTCGGTGGCTTTAGGAGCAGGAATTGTTTAGAATATAGTAGTAATTAGAATAAATTAGATTAAAATAGAAACATTTAGTTGCGCAACATGGAATCAACATGTGTTTCCACCGTAAATAAAAGGTATACGATTATTTATTTTTTTTGCTGGCCTTGATGAAAAAAAACTTGTTCTAAAAATGTTTTTATTACAGCTTTCACTCTTGACATTTATTATATGAGCACTTTTCGCCCGCATTTTGTTCGTTCCAAAGCTTCCACTTGTGGGAAACTCCTAAAATAAAACCCTTCATAGACCACACATGCGCGGTAAACGAACTCTCAGGATGATGCAATACATGAATAATGAAATGCCGGCAGTGAGTTCTTTAACCGACTGGACACGCAACCATTTTGTAATTCATCTCTGTAAAACTGACCAGTTAAACGTTTCTGGTATTTCCATGAACGTAAAAGCTTATTTCTCATTTGAATTGTAATATGCCTGAAAATAATCAATATTCTAAAGTGTTGTGTTTTCCTGAAATGCAAAAGAACAAGGATGACATTTCAACTCAGAGACATCTAGCGGTGACTTCCAGTGAAGAAGCGGCGAGTGTAATTCCATTGCTTTCACCAGATGATAGTATAAATCAAAAGTAAGGTCTTTGTAAAGTTAAAAAAGTTATTTAGGTTTAGAAAAAATAAATATGAATCACTCAATTCCTAAAGTGAAATTCACAAGGGTGGGATTAACGTAAATATTTTTTAATGACTTTTTTTCCTCGATAGAATAATTCAACTTAAAATTATGACTACACGGGAAGACAAAAATGCAGCTTCTGAAGTCTTAAATAATTTGTTTTTTTTTTATGGAAAAATTTGCTCACGGATCTCTTGTAAAGCGCAGTTGAAGTCAATAATTTATCTCGAAATACTTAATCGGAGGGGGAAGAGAGCAGCCTCACTTTTCATTAAAATTCCAAAAATAAATTATTTTCGTATTGTTTATGAAAAAAATACTATAGGAAGAACAAAAAGGAAAAAAAAATTTAATACAGGTTCCCCGTTTTGAAAAAAAAATTGTTGTTTAGCGACAACAGTTTTATATCACTACATAATTTTTTTTTTAAAAATTGTAAATCAGAATTAGTTTTTATTTAATTAGAGCTACTAGTTGAAAAAATGTAAATCTGTGTAAAACATGAGCTCTGTCACTGCATGCAGTCAGTGTGAGTTTTATCTATTTGTCATTTATTTATTTTCGTATAAATCACTGTATATTTGTAGATATTTGGTTACCCATATAATAATTAGGATTTATTTTCTTAGAGAGCTGAACTATTTATTATACTTGCAAAAAATTGATATTTTTTTACACTTTTGCACACTTTTCCCTAGTAATATTTATTTATTTACTTATTATTTTTTTAAAATTACTAGCGTCTAAGTTTTATCGTTAAACGCACGAGAAAGAGAGGGAATTTTTGAATCAGGCACACATAGTTTGCCATTGTTTCGTATCAACTCATGGCACGTATTGCAGTTCGCTGAAATTTATAAATTTATGTAGAGAGATAAATATCATAAATATAAATTGAGAGAAAAATATAATGATTTTTACAAAGATATGTTTCTCGCTAGTTAACCCTTTCACGCAGCAAAAGGGACGCTGATGTCATATTTTTGTATTTTTTTCGGTCGCTTTAATTACATGAGAAAATATAATTTGGTATTTTTTAATCATGAAAAACAGCTATGATTACTAATAAAATCTGTTAGATAAACGGAATTTAAAAAAAATTCTGATTCTGATATTTTCCTTTTGCCCACTACGGCTTGAGAGAAATACAATTTCGGAAAAATTAAAAAACGTTTTATGTTTTAAAAAGTTCTCTTTTTTTCTTGATCATTTATTTTATTTTAAATGTTTTTATTCTCCCTCATCCCTACCTGGCTAACGTTTAGATAAATCCAATCATAAAAAAAAATATTTGAAGAAAAATATATTATAAAAATTAAAAAAATATATCCCGTCAACTTACAAATTAGAAAGTATTCCTTAGGTTAAATTCCAGTCCATTTAGTCTAAATATTTTTTATATGAAAATTTAATTAGTGATAAAAATTTTTATACTATATAACAATTTTTTTAAAACTTAGTCAGCACAGATGAAATTGCAAACTCTCATTTAAAAAATAAATGAGCATTTAAAAAATAAATGACATTAATAATTAGATGTTATATTTTATAAGTGATTGCCTGCAACGACAGATTTACTGATCAAAATATAAAGCAAAGTATAATAATGAGTAAGAATTTAATGATACGAGCAAATTAAAATATTTTTCGCAACATTTGAAACGCTGGAGAGAAGTTTCAAATATAGATTTCTTTAACTATTCCTATAACTATCACATAACCAGAAAGCGTTTTAAAAATTATCAGTATTAAACTTTGATATATATGAGTCAGACATACTAGGAAAGAGAATATTGATCCTTATTTTTCGGAACGTTGTCAATTGTATTCTCGGTTTATTCTCAGTAAAATTAGTTATTTTTTGAGGAGTAACAGCAGGATTGTTATTCACAAATATATAACAGATTTGCTTACTTTTAAGAAATTTTGTACAAAATTAAATGTTATAGACACGTTGATAAGAAAACAAACAGTGTGAATACAGGATATTCTCAAGGAATGTTTTTATTACTCGGAAGTTCCACCACTCGCTTGTCTCAAAAACCGTGTGATTTCCTTAAAAGTCAGTATTTTTTTTTAAAGATAATTTTGCTTGTAGCTTATTATATTTATTGTATGTAAGAAAATTTTATCAATTTGTTATTTATGATTCAGCATGTCAAATTTCAACTTTGAATCCTTCCTTTTTTCCTGTGAGCTGCAGAGCGGATCGCATGATATTTTTTACAACAAGTTTATTAATTAGTAATTCTCGAACTATTTATTGATCTTTAATTTTTTTTATTGCACCATACTCTCTGAATTTTGTTCTACACACCTATGTAATTTCAAATTCCTAGTGCAGTTTTTGCCTTTAAAAACAAAATGTATCGTTAAATTGAGAACCGAAAACAGCGATGGAGCATGCGATTTTTTAGTAAAAAATTTTCCATAAGATTTATAGAAAGAGTTTTATCTTTCTAAAAAAATAGTTCGTTTGCTTTCGAAATGTAATATTTTTACTCGTTGTTATTTTCTTTATTGTATAGTAACACACTAATGTTTTTTACTAGGCATGTAAAAAGTTTATTTCTGTTATTAAGTAAACTGTGCACTATGCAGAGCCTGTATTATAGCAAACCAGTTTGAAATAAAAATAACTTCCTTAACTTCCATCAAACCCTCTCCATTTCTTAATCAATAGTCCTATTGACTTACAAGGAGAAAAAAAAAGAAGTTAAGATGTGTAAATAGGTACAAGTCTAACATTGCACTTCATGTATATTGGACTTTCAGTACATTGAACTTTTAACTGTTGTATTGTTTTAATTATCAGTCTACGATCTCCAATTTAGTTTCATTCAAAAGAATAACTCATTTGTCACCACGCAAAATACAATAATACGCATTGGTTATAAGTTTCTCCACCATTTGTCTGTTTTAATTCTTTCCTGAAAACTCCGATGTGTGAGGTCATTAAACATTTTAACAATTTTTTGAAAGCAGGGTACTTAGCAGTTTGACACTGAGTGTTTTTTTTTGTATGCCAGAGTTTTGACGATTTGTGAGCTATCTTTACTAAAATATGCTCAAAATTATACAAAATACAGTTATAAGACAGATTTTAACAATAAAAAACAATATAAAAAGTTAGAAAATCCTTAAATTACATATAAAGGAAAGCAAATGACCATATTACACCCTTCTAGACTGGATTAACTTTAGTTCCTTTAAATATATAAAGGGTAAAGTATGCAACCTTCATTGTTAAAAAGTGAAAAAGGTTTGTGTAATTTTTTGAAGGTAAAAAACACTTACGAAGAATACAAAAGTCAATGTTTTAATAAGAGTACCAAACATTTTACTCCATCATTATGCTCTCAGAGAAGTTATTTATATTTAGGATTCATAAATTGAATTAATATAACTCTTTTGCAGTCGCTGCAGGCCTTCACCTCTTAAACTACCCCACAGAAGAGGATTTGTATTCTTTTAATGCCATAGAAATAACAAAAACTATTCAAGCACACCATGAAATATGATTCAATAAAGGATACGACACCAACCAACCATATAACTCTTTATTAATGTTTTTATCTATTTTGTAAACAAACAAATGCTATTTTTTTAATGTCAGATATCAAAATTAAATGCGACTAAACTAAAATGTGCGGATATTGATAAATAAAAAAAACATCGCATTAAAAGAGTTAAGCAAGCACTTATGACTATTGTTTCGGTATTTTTTAAAAAATAATATCACCATTTTAATCATATTTTGCCAGCAAACCATATATGGAACTGTTATGTTACAGTTCCATATATGGATATAAACTATATATGGAACTGTAAACCATATATGGAACTGTAAACCATGTATGGAACTGTTTGTTTTTATAAGCACATTTGGTATGGTTTGCTGCGTCATATATGGTAGAAATGAACTTTAAAAAAGTCAGGGAATCCCTCTCCACGCAAATACCATATTTCCGTTGTAGAATATTTCCTTATTCGGAAGTTTTACCTTCGTTTAGAAATATTCGTTATGTTCACATTAAATTTTTTCTTCTTTCGTTCTTCATTTTCTTTGTCTCAATCTCTAAGGGGCTATACATATATCTGTCTTATGAAAAGCTCATAAACTTGAAAGTATCCGTTTCCTCGTCATTGAAATAATAGTAATAAAAATAAACATTCTTTGAAAGTGAACCTGGTATTATTTGATATCGATAAGTGCAGGAGAGTTGACAGTTCGAGAGAGTTAATCTGTGTTTCTTGAAAAACTGAAGAACTTAAAAATATCAGTTACTTTGTCATTGAAATAATAATAATAAATGATGCTTTCCTTAAAAGGGAACTTGGTATAATTTGATACCGGTAAGTATGGGAGAAATATTGCTTAGAGAGAGTTAATCTATGGTTTTTGAAAAACTCCACTTTAAATAACATAATATACTGAAACAATAATGTTGATAAAAAAAAATTTTTTTTTTCAAGCAATTTTATAATATAGTTTTTGTTGGAAATAAAAAAAAATGTGTAGTGAATTCCACTTACATTCATATCAAATTGAATTTAAAATATAGATTCATATTTTTATAAATATAAACGTTTCTAAATGTTTATACAGTCAAACCCCGTTATAGTGAACATTGTTAATAGTAAACTCCCGGATATAGTGAACGAAATGTTCGCTCCCGTGCCTTGCTATACACATAAAATATTATTTTTTGTGGATACGTATAGTGAACCAAAAAAAGAGAGGAAATTGGATACTATGAACTTTTTTTCTGTCGTCGACTGAAATTTTTTCTTCATTTTATGGTAATTTTGAAATTTTTTACATAAAATACATATACCGATTTTTAAAACCATCTATGGAATGAAGCCATAAGCATTTTTTCTTGTTTGTTTCTTCTATCTGAGTTTCCCATTCCTAAATAAAGGCCATCTCAAAAATTTTTGTACGCAAGGCGA